AAAAAGGATTTGTTTGACATTGACATGGATGTGTAATCGCCTTGCCAACGTCTGGACAAAGAGCCAGACTGTCACCCTTTGGAGGAAATTGGTTAAGATGTTTAGGAACAACCAAAGAACCACTAAGCCTCAAGCCAGCCATGAACTGGAAATTGCTGAAACACCAGCATCACTGTCCACAATGAAGTGAGATTTACATTGGCATGGACTGAGAGGGCGCCGACTAAGAAAGAAGTTCGTACTTCCAAATCAACACCTTCAAGCTCAACTGAAATTTGCCACTGCTCATGTGGACAAGCCAAAAAGTTTTATGCTCAGACAAAACAAGGACCGGAGCGAGTAAAGTTTTCAGCGTTCCGGTTGTGGAACATGGTGGTGGCAGTATCATGGTCTGGGACTATTTTTTTGACACTTGTACTGATGCATTGCAGAAAGTGATGGAAAGATTTTTCACTTCACCTCAAATCAACAGCTTGATGGTTGAAACTTGGACACAATCAGATGTTCCAACAGAACAATGATCCCAAATACATCAAAACTGATTTTGGAATAGATAACGCAGGATAACATGAAGCTTTTGGAATATTTCGACCTCAGCCCCGTTGAAAATTTGTGGACTATGCTTAAAAGCTGGGTCTGTGCAATGAAACCAACCAGTTGAAATGAACTCTGCCAATTCTGCCAAGAAGAGTCGTCAGCTATCCAGCAAGAACATTTGATTAAGTGACATTTAATCAAATATAATGCTGGGAGTGTATGTATACTTTTGATCCTATATGTATGTATACATACTGGAAAAAGAACAGTTCAAAGAAATACCCATGATGAGTGTATGGAAACTTCTGATCACTGTATAACTCCTTCATTACTTCTTATCATTTGGGCTGCATGTTTGAATTCTATAAGCTCTGATTTCCATTGGTTTTGATGCTTTCATGTTGTATTTTGAAGACAAGTGGACTGATACAAAGTTTAAGTAGGGTTCTTCAAGCATGTGGCTCCCTGTCTTTAGCCTGTGATTAACAGTATCCTCACTCTCATCCACACAATGCCAGATCTTTTTATTCTGCAAGAGTAAACCCCGGGGTCTTGTTTATTTCCGAAGCAACATCTCTCCTGATGTGTTTTTTTTTCCATCTCAGCACCTCTGTATCTTTGTTGTGAATAATGTACAATGACCTTTCTCACTATCAAGAAGAGAAATAGCTTCATAATGAATGCTGGGCTCTTTCTGGCATCATCACTGTCAGGGCACAGGGGCATTGTTGGTCCAGGGACATTACTATTTCAGCTCCTGTGAGGTAATATTAGAGCAGGCTTTCCATCAACCTACAACCTCTGTGTGATATAACACAAGGCTATTTTCAGCCAGCGGCTGTCAGGACTGGATAAGAAAGTAAAGGCATGAAAGGGCGCCTGGGATGCTGATTCTGGCACCTCATGATTGTTCTTCATGGAAAAGTTTTAAATGATTTTTATGCGTTTGAAATCTGATGCTTGCAAAGATGTCAGAGGGGTAACTCACTATTTTAAGGCTATTAATTTACAGTGCTATTAGCTTCCTGTGGTACACAGTTTTCTTGTTTGGTTTCATTGTTTAATTTGGGCTTTGAGGTGATATTTTTCCAAATTCTGCAAGGTCAGAAGATTAAATGCATTTAAATTATTTCTCTCTCCTACTGTAGCCCATTTTATCAGCTTAAATTAAGTTTCACATATTCCCAGAATGTATCTTCAAAGTTTCAGCTCAGCAATACCTCACCGATCGCTCACAGGTGCATGTAGCTTTAAATGCAAATTTGCTGCTCCTGGCCACACCCATGGATACCAATCAATAGATAATAACCAATACCCAAATTAGAAAGCATTTATTCTGGGTTTAATTAATATAAATAATGGAATGGTTAATGATAGGTATGAATATTTTTTATGATATAGCCCTGAGGACAGAGTTTAATGGTTGTAATGGTTATAGATGGTTATAATAATAACTCCTAACTGTTCTTCCAAGTTTCATTTTCAATAAAATATATTAAAGCCATCATTACTGTTGTGTTTTCATGACTTAGGTAAAAAAGGGCATGCTGTTGGGGGATAGATGCTGTTTTTCCAAAACAGTATCGTAAAACCTAAAGAATATACTCTTCCTGCTCTTTGAAATATTATTAAGGATTAGTCATCCAGTTAATAATGTCAGAATATTACAATACTTTGTTAAATCATGACCTATGAAGACTGTGTAATGGTTAAACTGAAGAAAAGTAAAACAAAAAGATACAAATGAGATGTTTTTGGTGAAATTGAAACGATGAGCTGCTTTTGCAAGGCGTTGCAGGTGAATAAAGACCAAAAAATAAGTAGAGTATCGCTAGGTGGTTGCCAGGCAACAAGATGGCTTTTGTGGATATAAATGAGAAGTTATTGTCACAGAATAAAAACGATATGATGCTATTATAAGGCGTTACAGGTGCACAAATGCTAAAACCATGTCATTTTAGCCCATTGCTATGTGGTTGCCAGGCAACTTGATGATGCCATAATATCTACTGTAGATAAAAAACCACCAGGGGACTATTATGCACCTGTGTGCCAAGTTTGGGGCTCAACTCATGACTGTGTAGAAGAAGAAACAAGCACACACAAACATGCTTATTGCTTATGCTTCAGAGATATGTATGTATATGAAATTTGCCACTTTTTAAATTTTTTTGGTGGCAATCCCAGTAGATATGTCAAGAAAAAGCAACAATTGGATCAGATACGGAGGGTAAAGTCCAAAGTGGGACATTTATATTAGATAGATAGACAAAATTACTCACCCTTCTTGGCAGTCTACTCTAATTAATCACAGGTTTTCATATAACCGAAGCTCATCTGTCTGTGGGCTTATTGAGGGCTTGGTCTGTGGGGAAGTGGAGTGCTGGCGGATTACAGTTGGCTTTTGGTGGATCACATCCACTACTGCAGTCATGCATATCCTATCAACGGCTAAGCTCATGAGTGTGGAGCGAGTCAATTCTAAGGCCCAAATCCCAATCCGATGGCGTGAAAGGAGAGACAGTGTGACCCTTTGGTGACACAGCGGTCACGCAGTAAGCCAGCTCAAATGGTGGACTGTCAAATGTCCTGGCGTCAGAGGACGATGATGAAGGCAGTCTCACGCGACTCTTGGGAAGGCTATCCAACTTTGTGTTCTAAATGTAATTATTACAGAAAAAACAAGTTTAAAAGAATAGAAAGAAAAAAGAAACAAATCTGGAGACAGGAGCCAAAATGACTTAGAATTTGTTTATTTATTTATTAAATACAGCATATTACACTCATGTTGATAATCCGTATATACTAGTACTTATATCGAGACATTGTTTTAAAGTTAAACTCTTTATTGCCGCACATGTTAAACCGAATGTTTAATTTTCTTCTTTTTATACAGTGTAAAAAAATGAAATGAATCCTATGAACAGACAAACATGTCCTTTGTGCTACATATTACAAAGTGGTGTTAACGTTCAGGACATGATGACACTGATAAGACACATGCTGCACAATGGACACTTGGTAGGACAAACAAACACAAAAATAATAATTCCACAGGAACAGGAAAAATCCTTCACGCAGTGCATTACTGAAAGTCTGGCTTCCAGTCAGATCTGATTGTTTCACTGATACTAACTCATACATGGTAGCCAGCCCCTTGATCATTGTTGGCAAAAGAAAACAAAAAATGACTGGAAACCAGGCTTTGCATTTAGTAAAGCAACATCTAACACTTTCAGTCACCGTGTGCATTATTTCATTCACATCCACTGAGTCTAGCACCCTCAGACCTACGTTAAGGACTCGTTTTCAACATTTGAAGAAAGAAAACCTTGTGAAATTTCCATACTCTCATTTGCTCTGTTCAACCTTTGGGATGCACTTTCATTTTTCTCATGAAATGAAGTGCTTTGCATTAAGGAATTTTTCAACTTACATAGTGCAATTTTACATTCCTCGTCATTGATGAATTTGTCTCCATGTCGTAAAACTATTTGGTGCATGAATGGAAGAATGAGTCAAAATAAAAGTGCATGCAGGAGACATACAGACAGGAACAATTCAAAATATGCTTGTTCGATTTCGCAGTGTGGGATAGATAAGGAGGCTGACACCACTCCACTCTCGGTCTGCTACATATGAAGCTGCAGCCAGAGGCCGGTTACTTGATTAGCATAAAGAATGAAAGAAGGGGGAAACTAACTCAGCTTGGTTATCCCTGTAAAGCTCTAAAACAGGTTGATTTAGGTAGACTTTTCCTGTTTTTTAAAATTTTTTTTATTAAAATGGCAGCCTCAACTAGTGGACTGACAAATATACATTGCTTTTATACATTGAGGCCAAGGGCTATTATAAATGAGCCCTTCGTCATCAGATGGTTAGCAGGTTTCTGTGGATGTCCGTGTGTCTGCCTATTCTTTTTGCAGACAGTTTACATGTTAATGAACTAACAGAGCATAACCTAGGCTTTAAGCATTGATTATACTCTGTTGCAGAGATGGACATTGATTTACAGTTCGAGACTCAATAGCTGCGTAGTTTTTTCTGTTACACTTCTCTGAAGTCTGTTTTATGCCCACTGCCTGGGATAGATGGGTAGCTGGTCCACTGTTATTTAAATTCTTCACAGACGACTCCGTGCAGTCACGCAGATGCCCACACAGATGTTCGCACGCACTGATGACAAAGACATCCAGTGGACTTGAACCAAATAGATCAGCAATTAAGATCGTAGAAGGACTTTGTGCTAGTGGAGCTTTTCGTTACGTCGGAGGGCATATCCTATCATGAGATACCTCAGAGAACCAGGGTTACACGGGTAACCAAACACATTAAAGTCACTCATGAGACTAGGAAATATACTGTGTTCCAACTGAAGAGTTGGAAATCCCAACTTTGATGTAGGACTTTCCAATTTGAACTCTACACAAGCTTTTTATTTTTTAATTTTGGGGGGGGGGGGGGGGGGGGGGGGAGCTAAATTACTTAATAACTCAAAAATTATGAGTTATGCATCTGAGAAGTCAAAATTATAAACTACAAAAAATTTGGAAATAACCCAAAATACGATATTTTCCACGTACTACTACTACAGCTGGAACGGTCAACTCGAGAGTGGCGTCACTCCTACCTCTGACAACTCAGAGGTAAAAGAAACAAAGCTTTAGTCCAGGCACTACATTATCTGTCTGTGTGTGGTAAAGGTGAGTACTTATTATTATTGGACAGATTTTAGGCAAACCTATATTTTAATACTTATTTTAGACCATCTGATGTAGCAAAATGTCAACTATGCAACAAATAAATAAATAAATAAGATAAAAACCAATTAAATTTGCACTTTTTTGCTTTAAAATGTGTAATTACTATGCAGCGAGCTCAAACTACTGCATTCGAGGACTTACGTTTCTTTATGAGTGCTTTCTGATTATTTATTAACAGCGACAAAAATTATGCCAAAATATAAGAGCTTTGCAATTTCATGTTTAATTTGTGGGTACTCCTCTCCCGTGACAATTCTTCTCCTGGCAACGAGAGGGAAGTATCCCTTAGTAACATTACACTAAAATGCAGAGAAAAAGTATTTTCCCTCTTCCTGATTTGTTTATTTTTTTGCACATTTATTAAATTACATTACTTACATGGTTCAGATCATCACACAGATTTTTATGTATTTACTCTGGTTATCTTTGTTAAATATTAAAATTTATTTTGCTGATCTGAAGTATGAAAATATGAAAAAAAAAACCCTAAGAACTCAGGAAGAGGGAAAATACTTTTTCACGGCACTGCATTTTATTTAGAGCTTCAGAGGCGCTGCTTTCCTCTGCTTCCAATCTTTATGCTTCCAATCTTTAAGCTATTCATCTCATGATATTAGCATCATATTTAAAAGAAAGTCAATTCAAGCTTCACAACTCAAAAGACAAAAATATGAAACTATTACTTTAGAAGAAAATAAATAACTTTGTGTGGATGTAAACTTAGAAAAACTCAAACTCCAGGAGAATAACTGAGAAAGTACAAAGGAGGGAAAGAAGTTAAGGAAAATGAAGTTAAGGAAATAAAAAAAAATCCCTGAGGGCTAAAATCCTACAGATGTCTTCATGATAAAAGCAATAGAGGATGCTTCATAAACAAAAATGATTGGAATCTCATGTACAGTACTGATGATTGCACACGGTAATCACATAATTCTTTAGCTAGCTAATGCACAAATGGGCACAGATTCAGTATTTCAGCTGTGACATGAACAGCTTTGCTTGCAGGACTACAGACTTTTAACTGTATGGAATCAATAAATTAATGCTGAGTGCAACACAAATGCTGCATTCAATAAAATGTGCCCTTTAAAATGAGAAAGAATGAGGATTTTTTTTTTTTTGCTTGTGGCAGCAAAAATAGAACAGACCTATGGAGGGCAAGGATAGAAGAAGTCATCAGAAGAAAGAAAAACTGCAGAACTGGTCTGGTAGAGAGGAAAAGGTAGATGTATTGCAGAAAGGGCTGAATAAGGTATAAAAAACAAGAATGGGATTTAAAATGGAAGAAATAAAGGACAGAATGTATCAAGAAGACATAATAAAAATGTAAAACTAGAACATCAGTTACATCTTCTTATCAGGAGAGGTCTTTGAGTTGGTTGCTTTGCTCAATGACCGCCTTTGCAAACTGCTTGAAGACTCGGTCCATATAAGTGCTCTGACGTGGCCACAGGCCCTCCAGGAAACCAATATGGCCGCCGTGATGGGTAATGAGCATGGCCAGGTTAGGGTTCTGTTTCACTGCCTCCACTGGAATGGCTGCAAACAAAACACAGAATTCACTTTTTGTTTTGTTTTGGTTTTTTTTGCTTAATCTCTGTGCAATGTCTTTACATGACATGCCAGAATGTTATCATTAGTTCACGTAGTTGAAGTATTTTCACCCATGAACTGGACTTTGGACTGGAGACTCACCGTGAGATGGAGAAAAGACATCGTCAGCAGCGTTGAGACATAGCATTGGCACCTGCACAGATTTGAGCCTGTGGACAGGACTGGCATCGCGGTAGTAGTCGTCATTGGTAGGATAACCAAACATTATGGAGGTGAACCTCTCGTCAAACTCTCGGATGGTCCTTGCCTGTGGGAATGCGGTAAAACGATTTATTCGGTCTACTTTATTTAATGAAATTGGCATGGCTTAACGCCGCTGAAAATAATCCCCTACCTTCATGACATGATCAATGTCGTAACATTTTTCGAGCACTGGTCTGTGCCTGCGGGGCAGATTTAAAACAAAAACAAAAAACAGGTCACTAACTGCTGTTAGGTTACATGACTTGCATTTGAAAATATTCCCCAGAAATGCTGACAAGGTTGTAACAATATAATAATCTACCCCGGAAAAGAAAAGATAAATTCAAAAAAGCTTTTTTCAATAAAACATCAACATCGATATGAGAACATTCCTCCTGCTAATGAAATTCAGCTCCTCACACATAGCCTTCATTTCCTCTCAGCATGATCCCGGTTTCAGATGTGCAAACGTTGTCATCAGTATTTGTCTTAAATAGCAATATTCTAAAGAACACAATTGGCTTGATGATAAGCTAATATCAGTTATATTTATTTAAAATAAGCATGAACTGATATTCTCATTCGCATCAAGAGAAGTAAAAAACGTGGGGGTTGTAGAGGCTGCGAAAAATGGGCCGTTTTAGCCCGTTGCTAGGCAGCTTCAATTCAACTTTTGTGGATCTAAATGAGTTGATGCTTTTGTTAAATGTTAATTGCATAAATGCTAGAAAAAATTGCAGTTGCTAGGCAACATGAAGATGCCATTTGTGGATGTCATTTGTGTATTATATAAGAATATTTTTATCCATCTATTAATTCTGGACTGTGGCTTTTTGAACTTTTGGCATTGAATTCATTAGCTGTTCATAATGGTGACTATTGATCCTAATTTATTCTCTAGCATTTTTGGAGCCTTTAGTTCTTGTTATAATTTATTTTTCCAGTTTCATTTGTTTCCTCAGTGTTTCCCGTCTTCTGCGTTTGTGTCAATTCTTCTTCGTTTAGTTCAGTCCCGTGTCTGCGTTTCCCTGTTTATTGTTTCTCACTTCCTGCCTTATCTTAGGCGTTATTTCTCACTTGTGTTTTGTGTTTAGTTTTACTTCACCTCATGCCTCAATGTCTTTCATTACAATCACATGTGCCTCATGACCCTGCTGTGTCCACTTCTACTAATTACCCTCATGTGTAGAAATAGCACTGTCTTCTCCTCAGTGTTTATCAATCCACCCTTGTGTTGTCCCTGGCTATTAAATCAGTTATTAGTCCTTTAGTCTGTTATTAGTCTGGATTTCTGGATTTACTATCATCATCATCATCATCAATGCAATAAAGGTGCTCTTTAGGTTTACACTCAGCTATTTATCCATCCTGCATTTGACATATGGTTACACAGCAAATGACAGTGAGACAGCGAGGGGAAGTCTCGATTACCCAGAGTGACACCATGTAAAGGTGGTTCAGCCTTGACCTTTACCTTTGACCCTGTTGCTGGAAGGCAACAGTGCAAACCACTACATCATCATAATTATTATTTACTTAAGTATGATTAAGCATTTATTGATTTCAGACTTTGTTTAAATGTTTTGTTCATCACCTAACAAATAATAAAGCATACCCCTCCCCCCCACAACTTTTAAATGAGCAAACCAAACATAAATATTTGAAACCCAGTTGTTCAAGCCTCTGTTTAGAATCTAGCACTGGCAGTGACTTAGTGGCTGTGTTAATCCCTGCTCTGGCCCTGGCTGACCTGTGCACAGAGGCTTGTAGGCAGCTGGTGAGGTAGGAGTTGAAGAGGAAACGGTCCAGGGGTTTTTCCAGTGAAGCGGTGCACTCAAACACATCCCAGCCCGCTGAGAAGACCACGACCCCTTTCAGACAGGTTTCCCGGCCCTTGCGCCCCAAGTAGTTTGCCAGCATCATCCTGAATATGGAGAGAGGGAGAGATGAAGGGACAGAGGGAAACTGAATGACCAATCCCCCAATTCAGAGGATTACTGTTGTGCAATAAAAAACACATTATTTGGCAGACAACTGGAAAATAATAAAACAAAGCACTGACATGTCCCCAACACACAGTAAATGTTCAATATCTCACAGTTTACTAAAGCTGCATCGTGAAAAGTAGCTTTAATGTTTATTCTGACTTTTATTAGCAGTATGTGCAAGCTAGCTTGTAAAGAGTGGCTCCATTACCCGCCCATGGACACTCCTGCAGCCATGAGTGGAGCAGCTTCATAGGCCCTCTGGATGTGTTCAAGAACAGTCTCCAGATCCTCTGTGTTGGCTGCACAGTAGGTCCTTGGGGTCTGGGTATGACAGCAACATAACACAGTCACTCCTGCCTTTCTGATTCTTTGTCTCTGTCAAAACCACGATGAAGACCCAACAAAAGTGAAAACTGGAAACTTAGTATAGTAAAAACTTAGATGACATTACAGTTTATTAGTTTGGTAGAGCAGCTGTTTCTTCTAAAGGATTTTATGGAGACAGGCTGACAGTCCACAGACATACTGAAATTCAAACTGTGCATCAGAATAGAGGAGAAAGGTGATTTAAATGAATGTGATGTGGTTGTTGGTGCCAGAAAGGCTGGTTTGAGTATTTCAAAAATTTCTGATCTGCTAGGATTTTTCCACACTGCCATCTCCAGGGTTTACAAAGAAGGGCCTTCAAAAGAGAAAATATCCAATGAGCTGCAATTCTCTGGGTGAAAATGTTTGTCCAGAGGCCAGACTGCTTTGAACTGGCATTTAGGTAACAGCTACTCAAATAACAAGGCATGCAGAACAGCATCTCTAAACACACATGTTAAACCTTAAAGCAGATGGGCTACAGCAGCAACAGAAGACCACAATGACTATCACTCCTCTCAGATAAGAACTAGAAAGAGAGGCTCCCATTGGGACCACCAAAATTGGGCAACAGAAGATTGGAAAAGTGTTGCCTGGTCTGATGAGTTGAAAGCAATGGATACGTCCTGCCTAGTATCGATCATTCAAGCTTTTGCCAGTGATCTCATGATAATATGGATATTTTCTTGGCACACTTTGGGCCCCTTAGTAACAACTGAGTGTTGTTTAAATGCCCTAATCTACCAGAGTATTGTTGCTGACCATGTACATCCCATTATGACCACAGTGTACCATTCTTCTGATGGCTGGTTCCAGCAGGATAACGCACCGTGTTATCACTAAGGCTTAAATCATCTCAAACTGGTTTTTTTTAATATGTCACAGAGTTCTCCGTATTCAAATGCCCTTAACAGTCAGTATCAATCCAATAAAGCACCTGTGATGGAACCAAAGATGTGCAGTAAATAAATCTGCAGCAACTGGGTGATGCTATCACAACAATATGGACCAAAATCTCTAAGGAATATTTTCAGCACCTTATTGAATCTAAGGTAGCTCTGAAGGCAAAGGGCATTCCAATTCAGTAATAGCATGGTGTACATAATGAAGTATCCAGTGAGTGAACTCTATTGAAACCTTCAGTCATTTGCTCAGTAGACCACGAGAATCTCCTCTCTATAAAGCCATGAAAAGTGGATTCACATTTACCTGTTCACGCTGTGTATCTACATAAAAAATGTTTTAGCAGGCCAGCACAGGATAACCCATTTTTCTGAGACTCATTATTATTGTTTATTTGGCAATTTCTGAGTATGATAAGAATGCTGTTCTGTGTATGTGGGGGTGACATTTTATTCAACTTGAAACAGTGTTATCACTCAGTGCAGGCTACTTAACATTTAAAACAAGCCTGCTCTAACTTGAAGGAGCCTATTTAACAAGTCCAGTTTCTCAGCTCTCCAAGGCTGCTCATTAGGATTCAAGAAGAAGCTCAGGCAAACTATATTCCTGCTTTTCTGTTCTCTTATGCTTCCTTTAATAGTTCTGGACAAGAGCAGAACTTTAATAGGCCACCAGATCTTACTATGCTTATTTTTATATTGAATATATAACAAAACAACAAATTAATAATGTCTCAGGGGAACAGACTTAGCAGAGTGAACATATTCACTGCAAAGCAACTCCACAGGAGAGTGTAATGTAATAGGCGTTTTCTCAAGGTCTGGAAATAGGGCTATAGCACTTAGGAATAATCTTTGTATCAGTGTGCATCTTTCACACAGTGGGCCATTTGGAAAAACTGGCCTGGTTGAACAATGGAGGATATTCACACTTACTGGACAGAGAAGCATACAAGTGCTAAAGCATTTGCACTGAATATCGCACCATTTTCTCCACTGACAGAGGGAGAAAACTGCCCCAACGACCTGGTACGGTGCCAGGATTACAGGGTCCAGCTCAAATGTAATAACAGCTGAACCAACTGAGTTCTGGATGTAAACCCCAATCAAACACAGTGACACTGGATCCTTTGCTCTTGTTTCAAATCTGAAGGTTTGATTTTGTGCACTCTCTCCAGGTGATAAAACACCACTTTGACTAAAATCTCTATGCAATGGTGATAGTAAATGTAGCAGGTAGTAGACGGTATCTCTATTCTAAAGCAGAGACATGCAGAGAGTGCAGAGAGTGGAGCCATTAAATGCAATGTGCATGGAATACAATATCCAAGTTTGAGCTAATTTGTATTAGCTCAATATACCCGAGTGCAAGAGGAGAGATTAAGCCAGGTGTCGGGACAGCACGTGTTTGGCGAGCTCATATTTCTGTGGCTCGGCATTAAAATACAGTATCTGTCTGTAACTTAATCCCTGCTGTGCAGCAACATTGTCTGTTCGGCGTCCACTGAGGCTCCCTGTGGGCTCTGCGACACGTGTGCAACAGAAGAAAAAGAGCAACTCTACAGGGAGGTCAGCTGTCCTAAACAGTCGTGTCTGACGCTGTGAACATGGACGGCGCTCACGGACGAAAAAGAAGAAAAAAAAAAGAATGAAATCTTTGACACGTGTTGGAACAGATCTTACCAGTAATGTTTCACCAGAAACTCCTCTGTTGTTGAAAACCACGCATCTGAAATCCACAAAACATATATAATTTTAATAATCACCGTCAAATTTAATGGGCAGCAGGTAAATGTTACATTTTGAATATATTAGATTGAGTTTGTCGAGAATGTAGTGCTGTTTCTTGACATTTTATACATAATATTTGGATTTATTACTATAAAAACTAACTGCATGTTGCAAAGTAATTGTCTATGTTGTACATGTGTATGTAATATAAGGAGATCTGAACTGATTAGTGCATTAAACAACCACTGACTAGCTCTTTTACTCAGCTTTCCAGAAGAAAATCCAAAGTTTGCTGATAAAACATCCTCAAATGTGCCTTCGATTGGTGTAAACTAACCAACTTCAGATTTCAAACTGGCTAAATCGCTAGTAAATGGCTTATTTTTTACATTTCCTTCCAATTTCAGGATTTTACAGTTAATCAAAAGCCTATAAAAGCTCACGTCCAAATGAAAGCAACAGCCCAGATTTCTTTATACAAACATTTCTTACATAAAAGAAATGAACTGTGTATACGATGAAGTGCGCAGGGAGGCACAGCTGTGTGAAGGAACTGTGTTTGTACTGCAAAGCAAAGGCATCAGCATCTCGCCAGTCATCTATTATCTGCTGGAGTCAGACCTGCTGTTTTTATAATCGGCATAACTCAGCAGCAGCAGCAGCAGCAGCAGCAGGGCAGAGCTGTACAGGGTGCTGGGCGAGAGGAGGGGGGAGAAGGAGGTGGTGGTGGTGGTGGAGTGCTTAAACACACGCTGCAGCATACACTCGGAGGCTGGTCCGGGCTAAGCTGCAAAGCTTGTACCCGGATAAGCTGTAATTAATTAAGCTACACAGACAGGGGAGAGGGGTGGAAGATGCTGAGTTTGCCGGCTCTCTTCCCATGCCTTTCCAAATCTGTGTGAAAGAATGAGTGCAGAGAGAACATAGACAGGGCCTATTGGAGATGAAGGAAAGTGGAGGGGGAAAAAAGTGCCTCCCTCTGCAACTCTTCAAGCTCGGGCTACATTTGGCTATTTACAAAAGCAGCTCTCGACACGGAGCTTAGCTGCCCACTTTATTTGTGATTTCACCTCAAATAACCCCGAGCCCCTGTCACTCATGGACCCATTATATAAAGGTATAAAAAATCTTGCAAAAGCACTATAGAACTGGTTGCAGATTTTACTTTGCAATCATGAAAGCCAGTGAAAGTTCTTTCACTTTATTTGGACATGAAATCTGCAGTCTGTGTGGATAGCAAATTAGAACATAAAGCAGAGAAATTGTCAGTTCTTTGAGTCAGCCAGGCTATTCAGCCAAGACCACCCACCTATAGCCCAGATCCCGGCTCTGTTGGACCATGTGTAAGATGTAGGACTCTCGGCTGGTGCCGGTCAGACCGGGGAGGAGGAGGACTGTGGGCCTGGTGGCAGGGTCGGGATGAGAAAGGCTGTCATCGTTGTCGAACCAATCCAAAGAGATCTGTCCTCCATCTGCTGCTTTAATGAGCTCACTGCAGAGACGAGAAGGACACGCAAGTCAGCAACACCGGTCTTCCTGACAATGATCACTCTGTGCGCCTGTATATATCGTCTTCTTCGTTTCATCCATTGTATATATACAGTATATATACAGTCAGACACAAGCATGGGACAACACTGGTGTGAAATTTGAATTAAAAAGCATATCTGCTAATGAAATAGCTATAAAAACAGTGGAAATAGTCCACTTCTTCTTTCACATCACAATTAATACTTTTAAGTAACGGGATTACTTCATTGCATCCGTTACACACGCTGCTAAAGTGGGGACTGGATATGTGAGCACAACACTCACTGACAGCTGCCTCATTTCCCTTGCGAGCACCTTGTCAGCAGACTCTGCAACACAGAGCAAATTCAAATAAAGAGGAGGCCATTGCACCAATGGGTTCTTATAGCTAATCAATTTCGTGGATGCACAACCCGTGCGTGGCAGATGATGTAATTCAGTCTCGGTGCATTTTTAAACCTGCTCCGCACACACAAACGCACACACGCGACAGCCGCTGAGCCCAACTTGGCCGTCCGGCGGTTAAGAGAGACAGCGTGAAATTACAGAACGGCCATGAAATATGCACCTGAGGCGAGACTTTAAAGTCAAGAAAGGCCAATTCGGAGAAACCAGCAGAGTCCGTGGTGCTAATCCCCAGCTATGACAACAAGCTGAGTGGAATTTCACCCAGACAGCCTACGATACATCGGACATCTTTCACGCTGTCCGTCCTTGGGTCAACCTTGTATAACTTCATTATAGGAGGAGTGTCCTGCTGTCCCCGGAGGCCATGTGATAATAACTTGAGTGAATGCAACTATCAGTCTTTCTAGGTTTGATGCGGTAGCACAGACCTCCACTAGCATCTGTACACCCAGGGGCATTATGGGAGCATTTTTCTCCTTGACAAAGATCTCTGTGAAAAGCAGAGGCAGTGTCAAAGTCCTTGTGGCAGATTAATGGTGTACAGTTCTTAATTCTTTACCGTTTCCCTTGAATTAAAAGTCATATTTAAACAAAATCAGCTGTGGTTTTATGTAAGGAATTAAGAAAACAAGGAAAAAGAATATTAAAGATTGTATTTTTGTCTTTTACTCTAATGTCTAGTACATGGTACAGACACCTAAACATAAGGACATCAGATCAGTTGTACAGTTTACAGTTATAAACACACAGACTTGGGCAAAACGCATGTACGTGAAAAATGAGGGTCTTTTTTTCCCCAAGTGAAAACAAATAAATAAGTTATACATGTGTTATAATTAAAACCAAATCTGTCTTCACTCATTCTAATCTCATATCTTGAGATATGTGGGGGGTAGGGAATGCAGTGCCAATTAATCTTCAGCAGAATGAACATTTTCAAGGAGCAGGCCTGGCGGACCAAGCCAGCACGGTGACACAAAGGATCTCTTTCTCCTCTGGGCTTTGGAGATTGGCAAAGAACAAGAGCCGGATTTGTTTCCAGTTGTGGCACTGGAAAGAACGACCAACAGCAATTTCTCAGTGAGCAAGTTTGATAAAGCCAAGCACAGTCAGCAGCAAAATACTCAAAATGTTTTCCCTGACATTTAGTAATGCTGAAATCTCTTGCGGAACAAAATTGATTCAAAGGAGAAATAAAATATAAGCTTAGAGGATGAAAGTGACAATTGGCACATCAGTCACAGCGGGGACTTACTTTCTGTAGATGACCCCCGGTTTGGCTGTGACGAAAGGTCTCAGCAGAGTCTGGATGCGGCTCTCCCAACACCAAAAGGTGGGGTAGTAGGTCTCTGACACTACTGGACATTGCTCCCTCAGAAAATGGTAGAACTTCTTACCTCCAGAGATCAGCTGTGGCTTCTGCAAAACAGACGTGAATGTAGGATGGCACAGGTTAAAATCATATAAGAGACTTCGTCTCCCTACAGGACTAATTTAAAGTGCTGTTATTTAGTCTTAATAATAGACCCATTACTGTAATAATAAATTTACTGTCACATGCGGTAAAGCTAAATCTAAATATATTCATTATCATCAAATCACATCTAATACAGACCAATACAGATCTAACTGTGACAGAGTTTGCTTTATGAGTGCATAAACCTACAGTTGTGCATGATTAATGTGCACAACCACGTTCAAGCATAGCAAGCTGCTTACTTTGCATTAAGTCACGGGTGTCAAACTCATCGGCCACACATGGCCCAATATAATCTCAAGTGAGCTGGCCTAGTTAAACAACTGCATAATAACCAACCTTTTAATGTAAAGAAATAAACACGCACACACACACGCACACACACACACACACACACACACACACACACACACACACACACACACACACACACACAATTTGCATTCCCTGACTTAGGGTATAAAAGTGGTTGCTGGAGGTTGCGGGTAGGGCTGCTCGATTATGGCAAAAATGGTAATCACGATTATTTTCACTGAAATTGAGATCTCGATTATTTGACGATATTTATTTAACCCTTTAAGACCTACTATAGAACCAAGTCCGCCAGAGCTTATATTATTTTTTTACATGCTGTAGTGCCATTTGTGGGAGCATTTCAAGTTGCTAAATAACTGTTATAGCCCATATTTTAATAATATGTATGCATTAAGTCCATAGTAACTACATTAATTGCAAAAAAGTGCAATAAATTACAAAAAAAATTGAAAATCGTTTTTGTTTTTTTTTACATATATTTCTACTTGGAGAAATTTAAGAGGTTTATCCCTCAAAACTTTAAATACAAAAAAGTTTCAAAAAATAGTTTACAACAACAGGAAACTTATTGTGAGTGTCTTCATAGTCTTATTTTGGAGATACACCAATTTTTATATACTGCAGGAAAAACAAAAAAAACAATCCTATGATGCAAATTTGCAAAGAAAACAGCAGGTGCATCAAAAATAAACTATTTCCAGCAGTGCAATTCGAGCTCTAAGCATCCCAGAAACTATTCAGAAAAGTCAAACATGACCAGTGTAGGCTTTTAAGGCCTACAAGTAAAAAACTACATTTCCGCGAAAATGACGTCACTTCCGGTTTCGGGCAGGAAATGGCGGACATGCAACAGTTCGGGCTGACGACTTTTTCAATGTGGGAAGTGTTACGAACAGCTGATCGGATCGGCAAAGCGTGTTTCTGGAATATTACGTTTTTGTTCCTGCAAGCGCTTTTTATGCAATTTTTGCAAAGCTTTATGTGGAAGGAAACCGTGACCGAGGACAAGCTGATGGCATAAGATGTAAGTACAACTCCTCCGGTTTCATATGCAAAACAAATTATTGCGCTAGCTTACAGGGTTCAGGTTCTACAGGGATTTAAAAATAGTTACACAAAACGGAGCGTGCTGCTCTGACCGGATTTAAAGGGTTAACAATGACTTTAAAAAATAATATAAAATAGTGTGCAACGCCACTGAAGTTTTTTTTTACCTCTCTTTTCAACCAACAGCAGTCACTCTCCTCTCCAAATAACTTCTGCTTAGCTTTCCGAGCTTCCCTCGGGTCCTCTTAATCAGCGGTCTCCAACCTTTTTTGCGCCACGGACGGTTTATGCCCGACAATATTTTCACGGACCGGCCTTTAAGGTGTCGCGGATAAATGAGGGAGGGGCTAATAATCGGCTCAGTCATTTTTAATGATCGTTGAAAGCCCAGATCGTAATCGTGATTAAAATTCGATTAATTGAGCAGCCCTAGTTGCGGGTACTCTCCATGGCAACGCAGGTCTAAAGACCAGTCACTCACCCCCTGGCAACCACCTCTCACTAGGAAAAATGGCTATAGGTATTTCTTTAGTAGCTGGTGTAGTTTGAATGGAAGTGGCAGATTTATCCACAAACACTGGCCAGCTAGTCCCCGAGCTGTAGTGAAACGGTGAAAAGTGTAGTGCAAACTAGAAACAGATCCTGTTTGCCTTCAGTGCAAAAGCAGAGAGCCACAACTTCTATTTGAAGGCGAACATTCCCCAATTCCAGCTTGTGCTGCAAAACAAATATTTTCAACCATTTCAATCTGCTAAAGGTTTTCCTCTACTGAGAGCCAGCAACCTCCGGGATCCACTGACAAATAGTACCTGGTGGTTGTATCACATCGCTTATGGTGGGGAAGTCAGTTTAAAGCAATTTAAGCTACAGGTTTTATTACATTTCCATTACATGTTGTTGGGAATTGCATTACCAAGTTTAGAAAGCATTTATACGGACTGTGTGTGTGTCTCATCACTCACAATAACATTGTGAGTGATGAGACCTCTTCCTTTAAACTACTACCATCTCCACAGCACAATTACCCCCCCCCTTTCACAAAAAATAGGTCTAAACTGTCTTTTCTGTCTCAAGCCATCAAACCTCTGAAAGCAGAAGAAAGTGTGTGTATATTGTTTGCATTATTTTGATGTGATTGGTTTTTATGTGTTGTTTACAAATGTTAATCTAGGTAATTAAATCTAAACAAAACAAAATTAGATGTGAAAAAAAACTGACTAAAATAAAATAAAATAAAATTATAAAGGCAATATCTTTAGTTTTAGTGTTTGTTAGTTTGGCAAAAAAAAAAAACCCCAAACAAAATCAAAACTGACATTTTATTGAAACTTTGCCACTCACAAGACTGTGAGTCACAAAAACTTAATAAAAGTTACAGAACTACAATATTTCTGGTGTATTCAAAGGTCAAGTGACTTCTGCTACAAGCAGAAATAAATAAATGCAAATTAAGAATAAAATAAACAATAAAAAATAATGATTTTTGGAACAAGAAAAAAAACCTACAGTATTTTAATCTTTATTTATGCTAAACAACTTTAGCTCAACCAACACTTAAACAGCCATACGTTTTTCATCCCTGTGTAGTACAGTGAAGAAGAAAGTGAAAAAACAAAAAGAAAAACTTCCACCCTTCCAGTAGACCGGATTGGAACCTTTGGCGGGCCGGTTCTGGCCCCCGTGCCTCATATTTGACACCACCGCTTTAAGAGATTCTGACTGGCAATTTCACAGATCCACGTTTATTTTAACCACATTTATGCATTCAAACCCTAAAGTCACAGACGAAAAGCTTCTTTTTATTCATTTAGTGAACGCTGTTCGTCTCCATCCTTTACAAATGAACGGCGGCAGCTCAGCGGGCGTTACATAACACCTTCTACCGGCATTTCTAGCTTACAGTAAAAGCTAGCCTAGCTTCCCTAATGCCGACGTCTAACTGCAGTCCTTTTCTCGTTACATACGAGCTAAACTTTAATATGGATAACACCCATTTTGGGTCTATATACGGATTAGTGTTTGCTCCGTGCCTGACATCCGACGTACACGTGCTGCTTTGCGGCGTTATCCCTCCAGTTAAACTGATGCCAGCTAACAGACACCTCCATCAGCATCTACGCCGAGTACCATCACCAGTCCCTGGCAGTTAAGATGCTTCTCCGCGAAAGACCACACACCGCACACGGGGATTTATGTGATATACAAGCCGTATACCGTGAAGACTCCCCTCAAAAGACCCAGACCCTTAAGTTAATGTCAATTACCTTCGCTACTGAGATCAAATAGTAGCAGGTGTACGCCGCGCTGAAGCCCAGCACCAGAGACAGACCCACTCCCGAACCGAACAGCCCAACTTTCACTTGGTTCTCCAGGTAATGCGACAGGTCCCGAGTCAAAATGTTGAAATTTAAGTCCAGCGAGATCATTGCAAGGTCCCTGGTGTTTCAGGTACTGCGAGGACAGCGGCCAGCTCTGGTGATACGCGGCTGTGTGTGCCTGCAAGCCCACAGTGAAGGAGACAGTCAAGGGGACCCGATGAGGACAGAGATATATAGGTATCAGCGACAGGTGGCGCTCTTTGACCGGCTATGCAGAACAGGGAACTCAGAATCATCCCTGCGCCCCCTGCAGTCCACAGACCCGCAGTGCAGCACAGGGATTGGAAAGCTGACGGTTCAGCCAAAAACTAAAGCGAAACTAAAGCTGGCGAATTAAATCAATAAAAAGGTGTTTGGAAAAACAGCAGCAACATCACTGTGCACATTGACCTCCAGAAAATACACTTACTGCTGTGGAAGTACAGGGTGAAATTAATTTACTTACCAAGCAAAACAGGCAAATGCCCCAGCGGGTACACACCTCCATGGGGACCAGTGGAGGTGTTTACCTTGTGGAAATTTGTATAGTTTAATTTAATTGGAGGGGACTTATGGCAACTGTTTTCCAATCTATTCCCACAGACAGGCAACCTGGGCTAAAAAACAAACAAACTTCAATACATTATTATTATTATTATTTTCAGTTTTTCACAAGTCCAAAAACAGGGAATCACTGGGCTTAAAGAGCATTTTTGATCCAAGGGCCACACAAAGGGTTACAATCATTCAGTATATTGAATATGTATATTCAGCTGGATTGGAAACCAGTGTAATCTAATCTGATTGTTTTTGGATTACCTTTAAATAAAAAATGAAATGATGTAAATTTTTTATAAAGATGTTTTTACTGTGAATAAATGCATTTTGTACATTCAGCTTGTGCAACTGACCTGATCAAACAGCCTTTCAAAAACAGTGCTTACACAAAGTACTGGTATATTGTGTGAGATGCTGTGTTTTCTGTGCATGTTTATGCTCATTATTGCAGTACTTTTTACTTGCAGTACCCTATGGAAGGCTTTGCTCTCGGGACCCAAGAGAGCAATCATTTAAAGAATTGTTCTTTCACTTGGAGTGTAAATAAAAAGGAACAAAATCTCCAGTACAAACAAATGTTAGATCACCATGAAAATAGCTAGCGCGCTAATAACACGAGAGACGTTTTTGGGATAAAGTAGAACATATTCATATGAGAATTAGTCCTTTCAATTTTTAAACAGACAATTAAAAAATAATCTAATCTCACATTTTAAAATGTAATCTGGGGTGATTAAAGTTTAATAGTTTGACAATCTGGTACATAATTTTGTATACAAGGAAAACATAAGCTGATGAGTACCTGTAAGGCTGAAACTGCTTACAATGAATATGGAAGTTACCTTAAATATGTTCTAGTGTAGGTAAATGTAGTTTAACATTTTTTATTGGTGAGCTTAGTTTTCATTCAGTAATTCTTCACTATCCTATCAATATATTTGGTATTTGACTGTACAGAAAGAAAAACTCTAAAAATCATAATAAATAAATGGACAATCAATATGTGTCTTGATAACTACAGTATACATTATTACTCAGTTGAAACAATTAAAAAAGGTGCCCTCTGACTTACCCATTCATGACTTATGCATTTTCTGTGTGTTGGATCCCATTTTGTTCTAAATTCGTGTCAATTCATATGGCTGCAAAAAGCCCACCAAAAATCAAAAAACTGAAAGAACTGTGGTCTTGTATGTGGAAGTCAGGAGAGGCGCTAAAGTATGTGAGGGTGGTGCAGGACATGTATGGAGACAGTGAGTGTCCTGTGCAGTAGTAATAACAGATGTGGTCAAGTAGGAGTCTCAGTACATTATGTTTGCAAATGACACTGTGATCTGTAGTGAGAGTAGGGAGCAGGTGGAAGAGAACTGGGAGAGGTATAGGTACCGGAGAGAAGATGACTGAAAGTCAGTAGAAGCAAGACTGAATACATGTGTGTGAACAGGAGGGAGACAGGTGGAAATCTGAACGTGCATGAAGGTAAATGACAACCATCCAAAGCAATAGACAGCACAAGAGAGTCGAAGAAGAGAGTGCAGACAGGGTGAAGTGGGTGGAGACGAGTGTCCGGGGTGATTTGTGACAGAAGGGTAGTAGCAAGAGTGAAAGAAGTTTTACAATATGGTAGTGAGACCTATGATGTTTGGTTTGGAGACTGGGAGGCTAACAAAAAGGCAGGAGGCAGAGCTGGAGGTTAGAGCGTTCAAGATGTTAATGGATGGACAGGATTGGTAATTTGAGTACTTCAGAGGGACATCTCAGGATGAACAATGTGGAGACAAAGTTAGAGAAACAAAGAGGCTGAGATAGTGTGGACATGTGCAGGGGAGAAACAGCGAAGGAGGACATCCAGAGAGTTTGTGTAACAGATGAGGATTAAAGAGATGTGAAATGAAGGCAGAAATCCAATAAAGGAAGAAGCTGAAAGATACTACTACTACTACTACTAATAATAATAATAATAACGATGATCATGATCGTCATTATGATTATAATTATTGTTGTTGTTCTTTACTAGTGAAATCACTTAAATTAGAATGTGGGAGAGTTTAAATTGTCATTCTGATTGGAAAATTAGTGAAGCAATTAAATGGCACTATATAAATGTTCATCACCAAAAGATTTAAAACCCTGATATTATAATATGTATCAAAATGATTGCCATGTATTAAAATTATTTTAGTAAAAATAATAATGTACAAAATGAAACCAACACGAAAACAAAATAAATAAAAACGAGGAATAATCACAATAAAAATAAAATAGAAAATTAAGAAAAAATTAATAGTTAAAGAAAAACACGTTAAGAGCATAAAAAAACGTAAAAAAAACAAACAAACAAAAACCGTGTAATAATCGGTAATACATGTATTATGAGTTGGCGATGGTCCATATGCTCGAGCGTATTACAGGTGCGCATGCGCAATGGCTGGACTCGCTTGTTTTCCAAGCCTCGCGTCTTCGTGCTTTATCGTCCAGCTCCGGAGCTAGTTGTTGCTTGTCTGAGCGGTGATTGACTATAATGGCGACGCGATTATTCTGAGAGTAGTCTATGGCACCGTCTCTAAGTGATAAAGGATACATGTCGGAGGGTTTTTTCTGCATCGCAGACTATAATAATAAGGACAAGCAACATCGAAAAGGAGCACATTCACTCCAGCCACAGGGAGCCAGGAGAGCTTTATCCTGCTAGCTGCGATAGCTAGCAACTCCGCTCACTAGCCTGCTAAGTTGAAGAGGTGGGATTCAAGTGTGTGGACTGGAGGAGAGGGACTGGCAGTTTGCTGAGTACTGAGATCTATCTGCTCTAGCTGTTGGCTACTTTGGGGTATTAACTTCCTCACTGCCAGAGGCAACACTTGGACGCCACTGGCTCGAGGTTGATGCTAGCTTGTTGTAATAGTTTTTGGGAGAGGATCCAGAATCCTTCTTGGGCAGCTAACTACAGCTACACACAGCTAACAGGCTAGCTTTGTGGATTGTTCCAGTCGCCTTCCTGTTAGGACTTGCTCTCGCTTGCGTTTGGAAACTCTCTACCAGTGCACACATAGTTGGCTAGCAAAGAGTGCTAGCTTGGTAACTTTTAAGGATTGTTGTACCTTTGCGACATCTTTTCTTAAATGACCACCGGCAGGAATAACCGAGCCATGATGGAAGGAGTTGGAGCAAGAGTGGTTCGCGGACCTGACTGGAAGTGGGGGAAGCAGGATGGAGGAGAGGGTCATGTCGGCACCGTTAGGAGTTTTGAAAGTCCAGAGGAGGTGGTGGTTGTCTGGGATAACGGGACGGCTGCCAACTACCGTTGTTCTGGAGCTTATGACGTGAGGATATTAGACAGTGCTCCAACAGGTAACTTCACTTCCGCTGCCTGCTTCTGCTCGCACTTTCAGGCTGAGTTTTAGTCTCATGGAAGTGGCTTCCAGTGTAACAGAGGGGTGCTCCGTTTGCAAGCTACGGGACTTTTTAAAATGTATTCATTTTTTTTGGCTTAACTTGGGAGCTTTTTACAGTGTTTCTCAGAAGCAACTTACTTACAAATATTTTAAGAATATATAATAAGGTCACCATTTGAGACGAACTGCCCCATTTATATTTATATCCTGTCTGTACACAGGCAGTGAAAGCTTTGTATAGAAGGTATGAAAATAAGTCACTGTCGTAAACATATCATGACTCTGAACTTCACACTGCTTGGATAAACTTTTGTACTAATTATGTAAATGATTAGAAGCATGATGTGGTTTTAAGGACCAATAGCAATACATGTCAATCCAATTACTTCGTTCAGTACACGTCCCATTGACAGACATCCCATATCCGCCCCCTGGTTAGTCACTGGATAAGGAGCAGTTTCCTGCAGTAATTTACACTGTTGATCAACCTGTAAGGACATGCTGAAGGGGAAAAGATTTTAAGGAGCTGTAAAGGAAAAACAAATCCAACTGCCAGTATATTAATAAATCTGCTATCTTGCTCTTTTAATAGTATGAAGAATATGTCTCTTTTTGAACTGATAGCATGCACATTGTTGGTAGCAAGGTGCTGCTAAGTTGTTGCAGTAATATTACCGATGTGTACTGTGCACATTATTATGTTTAAATTACGACTAATTCTGCTCCCTCAGGCATCAAGCATGATGGAACCATGTGTGACACCTGCCGTCAACAGCCCATCATTGGTATTCGCTGGAAATGTGCAGAGTGCACCAATTACGACCTCTGCACAACCTGTTACCATGGAGACAAACATCACCTGAGACACCGGTTCTACAGGATCACCACCCCAGGCAGCGAGAGGTTAGTTAATATTTATATAAAATTCTAGATTGCCATGTGAACAGAGGCGAAAAATCACATGAGGCAAAAGTGTGTCACATTTTATTCCCTGCTCTCTCATCTGTATGCAGCGATCGGCCCTTTACTACAGCTGTTTTCTAGTGTAATCTAACAATATTTGCTCTTATTGTTCCTCATCGTAGACCCAACAATTATAAAGTAGACATAGAGTAGACAGGTAATCCCTGTATTTAATTGTGATTGGCTGGTCTCCCCCTTTACACACTCTGTGTAGCTGTGTGTGTATGATATTTGTGGGTCTTTTGTGCACCCTGCATTTTAGGCAGACTGTGTCTATCTCTATGCTCCCAGCCCTCAGTTGCCTGGCAACAACTCAGCCTCACCTTAAGATCAGTCAGACCTTTTCAAAAATCATATTAGTGCAGTGTTTCCCATTTAGAGAACATATAATCTTTTTTTGTCTCCTGGAGGATGCATGCAGCTTCTTTTTCTTGTGTACTAGTAGTTGTCAGTTCAAGTGATTAGTCGACTAGTTTTTACAAATTTATGGTATTGTTTTCACGATTTAAAATATACCTTTAGGCAAAACTATAGAGTTTTTGTCCATTTGATTTCAAAATGTATTTAAGGTTTAATTAAGCACTAGTAATAGAATCAAGTGATTTCCCTTTAGTGCAAGGTCAGATCCCCTTGGGTCTCTATGGAAAAAAAACTGCTTGAGATGGTGTCAGCGCATTATAGAGTAATGAAAAATATTTTATAAGTTGGCAAACAAAACAACACACCTGCCAACAACAGTTTGTGATGGTGTTAAGTGGGAAATGTTAGGCGTTTTACTTTTTTGAAGTTTAGACAAAGTATTGCTGCAGAGTTTGTCTTTATTCCATTGAAATGTGATAGTACTGAATTATTATAAAGTATGTTTTGAATTAAGATTTCAGAACTTTTTCAGATTGATTTTTATAGACACATTGTGCACATGAGGAATAGCAGTTTGTTAGGTATTTGACACCTTACATTAAATTAATAAAATAGAAATATACACTTATTATAAATGCTTCAGGATGTGAAAAAATAACATTAGGCATGTAAAATCCAGTGTTTTCACATTATTTAGTTTTCAGAGAGTGACTCTACAACACTTTATATTAGGGCTGTTAGATATAACGATATATATCGGATGACGATATAAAAACATCTATCGTTTCATTTTACGCTATCGTTTGTTTCGTGGTGTCACAAAATAAACTGTTTACGGCAATTTTTTTTCATCATTTTGATGGTCACTGTAGTGGCTATATTAATTTCTTAAAGTACTCTCTTTCTCTTGTATTTAATATAACCACACTACAGACGGACAAGCGCCTGTTTTTATGCGTTGTCGTTAGCAACAACAACGTTAAAACCACCGCATGTCCGCTTTTTTATTTTCCATATAAACCTTTCACAATAAAGCTCAAGATCCTGTTGAGACTTTTCAAAATAAACTGAATCACGTGAAAGAGTATGCAGAGTGTTTACGGATGAAAAGCAAAAAAGAGCCGTCAGGCTTTTTCCTGCAGCACACTGTGTAATAAATACTCACAAAGAAAACTGCGGTCGTTACAACTTATGTCTAAAAATATATAGTTTCATACATCGTTAAAACACTCGACTGGCATGACGCCCAGCTGGAAACACTTCACGCAAGTCGAGCTGCCCGAGATTCACAGAATTGACAGAAAATGTTACATTTTTGTGATTTATATCGTTATCTGGACGATAGATGTCTTATATCGGGATATGAGATTTTGGTCATATCACACAGCCCTACTTTATATTGTTATCAGTATTTACCTGAAGTTGATGTTGATAGTCAGATTGAATTGTGTCACTGTGTGCCCCATTGTTTTTGTTTTTGGGCTTTATTGTCTGTTGAAAGCTAATTTTATTGTCTGAAAATACCTTTTAAAAAATTCTAGAGAGATGGGTAAGATCATGTAACTCACAATTTTGGTTTTACTGTAAAGGAAGTGTTAGGATTACAGTAAAGACTCTTCAAGAAGTACTGACACTGTCAGCAACCTTAGCTAATGTTACAAAAACATCTTTTATTTGTCATGAATCCTTCACAAGGAACTGCGTGCATTAAACAGCTGACAGCAGGAGCATATGACATCTGATGCGATCAGTCTTTTCTGTCTTATTCACCAAAATCAAATTAATGTGCCAAATCGCCTGTTTACAGGTGACATGGTTTATGTGGGAAAACGAATTTTGTTTTTATATCCTTTATCTGAATTCCTGCTTTGATAAATTTTTCAGAAGTTGAAAGTAGGGCTGGGCCATATTATACCGTTCACGGTAATACCGGTATAATGTTAGGCAACGATAGGAAAATGAAATATCGCGATAGAATGGGAGTAAAACGCGCATGCGCAGTGCCTTTGTTTTCATACGCACATGGCCGATTGTTGAGTGAAACAGATGAACCAGAATTGGTTTGTAAAAATGGTGCAACTTCAGTGATGTGGAACTGGTTTGGTGTTTGTCCGTCAGATACACAACAAAGCACATTTTTTTGCAGAACATGCAAGCGGCCGTCGTTATTGTCGTATTTGTCGGACTAAGATGCTCTTAAATCTGGGAGTAATCTGGGTCCTAAACTCAGTACACTTCAGGTCAAACAAACACTGCAGCATCACTGAGAGTTAACTGTCTAAATTCTTTCATCTTTAATAAAACGATCAGCATTGCTGCTTTACCAGGTGTAACAATTCAGTTTAACTTCCAGGCATCCATGAAAACAAAATTTATTACATTTAACGGTGTTAGAAGTTAGCAGGAAGCTAGCGGAAGTTAGCTCGCTAGTTTCGCTAGTTACCTAAGCATGATATAGCATGTTCTGACTGAGAGATTTCTGAAAAAATCAAACGTACAGCTCTGCTATCACTTCCAACATAAATGAAGGCAGGAAACTAAACAGCAGTGACGTTTGTAGGGTTACTGAAGTTGGGCTAGCTGGTATATAATGATGTGCTACGTGATCGCTAGCGACACAGCTATGTTAGCATAACATAAACAGTGAAGCTGGAGGATGAACACTAAGGTTCCTCATGGTTAGAGACAAATGCAATCGCATGGCAGGATGCTGTAAACGGACCAAACGTCAGTCAGGAGAACAACTGAGATAATCCATCCACAATACAAGGCTAGTCATTAATATACTGCAACAACATGGGAATAGAGCAGCTGCCAGAGAATTCAACATCAATGAATCAATGGTACAGAAGTGGAGGAAGCAAGAAGAATGAGTTTAATAAAGTTTGATTTATCTAACTGCTTTGTTTAGCTCAATGTGCCTTATGGTCCAAAAAATACGTACTGCACACTACAGTTTAATGTTGCAAAGCACCTCTTTTTAACTTCAGTGGATATTATATATGGTTATGCTCAGGATATGTCAGCCCATTTCTACTGGAAATGCCTTTTGGTTAAACTTTCAGCAAGGAATTTGCATTTGCACTGTTACATTTTTATAAAGCTTTAATGTACATTAAAAACCAGCTTCTTGTTTAAGTGAAAATTAATGGAAGGTTGTCTTTTTGCGCTAGTAATGTTGTGGAGTATTTTGTCTCGCATCAATTATATCGTCAGTTATATCGTTATCGCAAATTTTCAAATGTATATCGTGATAAATATTTTTGGCCATATCGCCCTGCTCTAGTTGAAAGTAGAAACTTTGTTACTAAATAATTCACACACAGGTAAGATCAGGTCAGATTGAAGAAAAGAATTTTACTCTGCCTTGCCCTCTATCAGAGAATCTTTAAGTTTTATAGACTAAGTGCCAACATATGTTTGAGAGCAAAAAAGTGTACCTGAACACTCTGAGTAATATCCTGCAGGATTTTCCATTGATTTATAGTTTTGTATTTTTTTTTTTTAGTGTTAGAGAGGTTTTCTCTGCTATGACAACAAGAACAGAAGAGTTGAAATGGAAGAGAAATTCTCTTCTGGTCTCACCCCGAGCTGCCGGATCACAGTTGCTCATGGGCTGAGCTTAAAGTTATCAGGGGGCTCCTCTCTGTGCTGTAGATGAAGAGTAAGGATGCTTATTTTGTTGGAAGAGTATTTACTACGCTGCTGACGTCGACTGAGAAAATTGTCAGGCGGTGGAAGGAATACTTCGAGGACCTCCTTAATCCCACTGACACGTCTTCCGAGGAGGAAGCAGAGTCTGGGGATGAGGGGAATGACCCGCCAATTTCCGGGGGCGAGGTCACTGAGGCAGTTAAACAACTCCTTGGTGGCAGAGCCCCTGGTGTTGATGAGGTCCGCCCCGAGTTCCTGAAGGCTCTGGACGTTGTAGGGCTGTCCTAGTTGACACGCCTCTGCAATGTTGCGTGGAGATCAGGGGCAGTACCTGTGGACTGGCAGACCGGGGTGGTGGTCCCCATCTTCAAGAAAGGGGACCGGAGGGTGTGTTCCAACTACAGGGGGATCACACTCCTCAGCCTCCCTGGGAAAGTCTATGCCAGGGTGCTGGAAAGGAGAGTTCGTCCGTTAGTCGAACCTCGGATACAGGAGGAACAATGCGGTTTTCGTCCTGGTCGCGGAACACTGGACCAGCTCTTTATCCTCTCCAGGATACTTGAGGGTGCATGGGAGTTTGCCCAACCAGTCTACATGTGTTTTGTGGACTTGGAGAAGGCATTCGACCGTGTCCCTCGGGGTGTCCTGTGGGAGGTGTTGCGGGAATATGGGGTGTCTGGCCCATTGCTACGGGCCATTCGATCCCTATACAACCGTTGCAAGAGCTTGGTTCGCATTGCCGGCAATAAGTCGGACTCGTTCCCGGTGGGTGATGGGCTCCGCCAGGGCTGCCCTTTGTCTCCGGTTCTGTTCATAATTTTTATGGACAGGATTTCTAGGCGCAGCCAAGTGGCGGAGGGCTTTCGCTTTGGTGGCCTCAGAATCTCATCTCTGATTTTTGCAGATGATGTGGTTCTGTTGGCTTCATCGGGTGAGGGCCTCCAGCTCGCACTGGAGCGGTTCGCAGCCGAGTGTGAAGCAGCGGGAATGAGGATCAGCACCTCCAAATCTGAGGCCATGGTTCTCAGCCGGAAAAGGGTGGAGTGCCCACTCCGGGTCGGGGATGAGTTCCTGCCCCAAGTGGAGGAGTTCAAGTATCTCGGGGTCTTGTTCGCGAGTGATGGGAGAAGGGAGCTGGAGATCGACAGACGGATTGGGGCTGCAGCTGCAGTAATGCGGACGCTGCACCGGTCCGTCGTGGTGAAGAGGGAGCTGAGTGTAAAAGCGAAGCTCTCAATTTACCGGTCGATCTACGTCCCTACCCTCACCTATGGCCACGAGCTGTGGGTAGTGACCGAAAGAACGAGATCGCGGATACAAGCGGCAGAAATGAGCTTCCTCCGAAGGGTGGCTGGCCTCTCCCTTAGAGACAGGGTGAGAAGTTCGGCCATCCGGGAGGGGCTCAGAGTAGAGCAGCTGCTGCTCCACATCGAAAGGAGCCAGCTGAGGTGGTTCGGGCATCTGACAAGGATGCCCCCTGGGCGCCTCCTGGGTGAGGTGTTCCAGGCATGTCCCACCGGGAGGAGGCCCCGGGGCAGACCCAGGACACGCTGGAGAGATTATATCTCTCGGCTGGCCTGGGAACGCCTTGGTATTCCCCCGGATAAGCTGGAGGAGGTGGCTGGGGAGAGGGAGGTCTGGGCCTCTTTGCTTAGGCTGCTGCCCCCGCGACCCGGCCCCGGACAAAGCGGATGAAAATGGATGGATGGAGTATTTACTTCCTAAATTGCACAACCAGCACTTGACTGTGATTCCACTTATACCGTCAGTACTCTGATGCATCCATTTCAGGCCTATATTAGCTAAACACCGCAGTTTAGTAAATGAACACATGGTCCAACAGCTGGCAGACTTTTCAACTGCATTTCCCCTGAGACAGACATTGCATAATGTACAATGGGTGCTTGAGGACTCCCTGACTCACACTGCTCCTACTGCATGGAGGAGTGTTTTGTTACACCACATTAGATTCTCTCAGTAACTGCTGAGGAGGGAGTGGTTAGAGGCCACAAGCTGTTTGCATTGGTTAGACCTACACTGTCCAGCTGCTGTGCCTACCAAGACTCATATGGTCTTTGATTGTTAGAGCTCTGTCTGAGGTTTTATTTGCCAATATCTATTAATTTGTTTTCCTTATAGCTATGCTGGTGTTTTGAGCATGCCTCAGAGCATTGTAATGGTGTGTTTGAGTACTTCTTACTTTTCATTTGCTGTGCCAAAAATTTAGTGTCTGATTTTGAGTGCATAAAAACTTTTTGTGTTCTAGAGAGCTAATCGCTATTCACTGTGACATTGTGTGTTTGTGATTTTAAAAAATACCTGAGAAGATGGTAGTAGGAAGGGCAGCTGTCACAGTGCTGCTGTGGTTAGCCCTGCTGCCTCACAGCTAAAAGGTTCTGGGTTGTTTGGCGCATCACTGTGTGGAGGTTGTATGCTCTCCCTGTGCCTGTGTGGGTTTCCTCTGGGGACTACAGCTTCCTCCCACACTGCAAAAAACATGCATGTTAGTTTGACTGGTAATTCTAAATTGTGTTAAATACATGAAGTTCAGTAAAGCTCTGTTTGAATGCATTTGTGTTTTTGGCTGTAGTGTAAAGTTCCTTGAGTGGTCAGTAAGACTAGAAAATAAAATCAATTCCAGTCCCTTTCTAACTGCTTTAGCTGGGAATTTGCGATGTAACATATGGCGTACCCTACGGTATACCCTACACACCTCCCTAGAAGTTAACTACACATCAGGTCGATGTGGCCTACAGCTATTGATTCTATCGATTCGTCCTCTACATTTCCAGCTACTTTTTTGCCAAAGTTTAAAAATTTATCAGTGAGAGAATAACAATTATTGTCTCAAAATAAAGAATAATAATCATAGCATCAATATAAGGACTCATAAACGTCAGCAGATTCCTGGAGGGAGATTGCCAAAACTATCGGAATGAATGTGAAGGATTTTACAAAAAAGTGGGGAAATAAGAGCTGGGACCCAGAAGGGAAAAAAGTCCCAGCATTTTATTTATTTCTATTGGATCGCTGGCACTGCGTGTAAAACACCAGGATATGATCACACGGTAAATACTGGCGACAACGTCAAACACTTCCATAGGTTACATTACAGGCTCTACAAAATTGCCAGCAAAAGTCTGTATCCAGCCTAACTGTGACAGAAGTCTTTTGTTTATTATCTTTTACTTCAATCAAACACGAGGTGCTGAGTGACAAAAGAGGATGGTAACAGCGTCCCATGTACTGAAAGTGAAGTTGGACAGAAGGCACACAGTTAAGGACGAGCTGTGGCTGGAGGAATAGTGGCATATAATTTAGTAATTATTGTACAACAGGCACGCCTCTGCAGTATTTACACATAATTAAAATGCATGTGAGTTGATCCACCTAAACACAGTTTGCTTGTCCAAATAAACAATAATGGTCTACATTTATAAAACGTATTTTGTCTTGACAGAGTACTTTTGGAGTCACGTCGCAAGTCAAAGAAAATCACAGCCAGAGGAATCTTTGCTGGTGGTCGGGTTGTGAGAGGAGTCGACTGGCAGTGGGAAGACCAGGATGGAGGGAATGGGAGGAGAGGAAAGGTAAGGGAAGCTGCCAGAAAAATTGGAGTTTCTAACTGTGCCTTTTTTCCCCTTCCCTCCCCAAGCCAAAAGCAAGCAATGTACCAATTTTCTAGAATGGCAAAGCGATGTGCTTTCAGTGCCTACTAACTATTCCTAGCTTTACGGAGAAGGACAGATGAGCAATTTTATAAATAAAATTATAAATAAAATTGCTCATCTGAGAGCTCATCTGGGTCCCAGTCACTTGGTAACAATGGTAATAAAAAGACAGGAAATTTGTCTCCACTAAATCCTGTTTCACAAGTGAGCTTTGTTTGTTCAGATAAATATGCATGATTACTAATGGGTAGCGTTGAGAAATGCAGGCAAAACTGTCTCTGCCTTATTTTAAAGTTGTACAACTAAAAGGATTATAAATCCTTGGAGGTAATACAGGCCTAGCAAACCTGCCAGAGAAATCTCAAAGATCTTTTTCACAAAAAATCCTAGGCAGGAAAAAAAACAATCTTACATCCCAGGATATGGTTTGGTTGAAAAACAAAGCACAGTAGCCTGAAACAAAACAGGAAGTTCACTGCTTGACTCAACATGTTAGGAGCGTAACACAAAGAGATCAGTCCATTACTGCTCCTTCTATACTTTTAAGTTTCTGTGGACAGCAAAAGGAAATTTAAAAAGCAAAATTAGAAAACAAGGTGACAATTGATTGTAAAGATTGAGCTGCATTTTCCATAAGAACTGACTTGAATCAAGATGAAACCAAGGCTCACTGCACCAGCATAAGGTGTGACAGCAGGTCTGAGGATTTTATCCTGGTGTGTAACAGCAGTCAGGGTACTGTTAGCTTACATATGGAGATCTGTGGAATCTGCCCGTCGCTGACCCACTGCCAAACCGGTCATACTGGATGATGTTGCAGGCCAGTGTAACATTTGCCTGGGTGTCTCCAGACTCTTTAATGTCGGTCACATGTGCTCGGTGTAAACCTGATCTCATCTGTAGCGAGAACTGGGTGCCTGTGGTGGACCTGTCAGTTCTGATGTTCTCTGGTGAATGCCAGTTGAGTTGCACAGCATGGGCCTGTGAGCACTAAGGTGTCCCAAGGATGCTGGAACACCTTCATATGTCCCGACGTTATGTGTTTGCGTCACTTGGTCAGAAACGTGCATGTGAATAACCTGCTGGAGATCATTTTGTAGCACTCTGGCAGTGCTTCTTCTGTTCCTCCTCACACAACCAAGCCAATACAGATTCTGTTGCTGGGTTCATGCCCTTCCAGAGCCCAGTCCAGTTCCCCCCATGTAATGGGGGTATTGTTACAGCACTTTTGGATGAGGTATCCTGGAAGAGCTGGACTACCTGTGCTGCAGGTGTTCTCTGATGCTACCTGATGTAACAAGGAAACAAAAAGCAAAGCTAAAGAAAAATAAGTGAGCAGGGTTAAGGAAAGAGTATTATATGTCTGCCATGTTTAAAACTCCATTCTCTACAATGTGATGACTGGGTGTTCCCTTAATGTTTTTTTGAGCAGTGCACATCTACATGTATCCCTTCAGCATTTTTCCAAATGTTTTTTATCAGAAGTCATGTTGGTGTTATCTCACATCGCAGGTTTTCTGCATGTTGTGCGGGCCTGTTGTGGTAACCACAGGGGGAGGAAGAGGCGTGGATGTGCACAATACGGCCATAATCAAGAGCAGACATAATTGTACAGTTGTCTTCACGAGTAGAAAATGAGAAACAGGATTTGTTTCTATACAAAAATCCAACTTTACCCTTCAATTTAGTTGTCAGGTCCTCCACACAGGACTGGTAATAACCTTGTGTGCGTCACTGAAACGCCTGTTTTCCTCCCCTTAGGTTCACGCTGCTGATTCCTGTTCATCTTTTCTGTGATTATAAACACTTTTTCTTTGCTGCAGGTTATTCTAGCCTTAAATATGTCATTAGAAAGTAATGCGATGTCTGATGAGGTTGAATTTGTTTAGCCCAGTCTATTTAGATTTATGCTCTTGCTGTGCTGTAAAGTGCGTGTATTTTGACTCTGGTCCAGTCCCCAGAGTATTCAATTTAAGAGTCCCTCTAGGCAATTTAAGACTTCATTTTGCTGTGTTATTTAATGGCATATCTCATTACAGTTTTATGATGCTGTAAGCAGTATGCTCTCCAGAAAACCACTATTACATGTCCTCCAGCTTAGATATTCTGTTAGGTTAGCATGAATATTACCTCCTAAGGCCCATTAATCAATTAACACTGGAAGGGGGCTGAACATAATTTAATAGTTTGTTTTCTGTATTTACTTAAGGCACAGCCTTTAATTAAAGAAATAATTTATTCCTCCACAGCATCTCCTCGGCGATATGAAAGCTCTGAGCTGCTTCTGATGAGGAGAGAATTGTCTTGTAAAAATCCTTATTTCTTTCAAAGCAGAATGGATTTTGAAGTCCAATATTCATAGCTTATTGCTTTTTTATTTTTATTTTTTATGCCTGTAACGCATCATTTTAGTTAGCTTACAGCTAAAAGTCATGTTCTCATAACAAATGTATATGTATAGCATTATTGATGGTTTAATCCAGTGAATACTAAATCAAAAAAAGGATCTTTAAAGACGCTGTTGGGGTCTTTAGTGATAGTTTTATCATTACACTGGACCTACAAGCTAGTCAAGAATAGCCTGACTGATTTCCACTCACTCCCCTCTAATTATAAAACTTGGATCCACACACTGAGAAGTTTAGCGCAGCCAGCTACTTGGAGTTTATTAATATTTTAATAGTGCATCACCACAAGAACAAGAACAGCCTTCTCTCTGGGAACGAATGGCACTTGGCGTTATTATATTTATCATGTACAAATATGTTTTTTTTTTTTTTTTTATATCTCTGTGTAAACGAGGGTCTGGTAGTGGTGGGAGTGTCTTTGTAAGGCAGTTTCTTGTATGTTTCCAAAGTGTGTAAAAACAAGCAAGTGGGAACTTGGGACATGGTGTCAGATGACACTTTGTTACAACTGTGTAATGGTGCTTTAATATCAGTGTACTGATGCTCAGGGATTTATAGAGATTTAAAAATAAATAACTCCAATAAGAAAAGCAACAACACATGATACTTGATTTTTTTTTTTTAGTTAAAACCTCACTCGTGTTTTTTATAAACGTGCTTTGTCTGCACTTTGGCTAAACGACGCCTATTTTTTCTTTCTTTTTAAACAAACACTATTTGTTTATTTGTTTTCATTAAAATACCCTTGGAGGTTGCACAGGTCTAAATAACTGTGGAAACAATAAAAGGTTTAGCATTGACTGTGAAAATGCAAATTCAGGAACAACAAAATCATAATCTAATTGTGACCCAACACATCAACACCTAATTGGGTTTGTGCTTGATTAGTCCCACCCCTAATATTTCTTAGTGTTTAGGGAATAAGCTTTCCTTTAAAAACTCAGTAACTGGACAACTTGCAGAGAATGTGAAACAACATAGTACTGTGCAAGAGTCTTGGGGAGATTCACATTACCCTTCAGTTGATACACTTTACTGAAGCCTCATCAGAAATGATCTCATTGGAAGGGTGGCTGTCAAGAAGCCATTCTTAAGTAGGGGAAACAGGAAGAAGAGGCTGAGGTATGCCAAATTAAACAAGAACTAGATTGCAAATCAGAGGGAACAGATCTCATGGAGTTATGAATCCAAATTTTAAGTCTTTGGTTCAAGTTGTCTACAGCCGTCTGTAAAACACGGTGGAGGCTCTGTCAAGGTTTGGGACTCTCTCTATCAACCCACTGTGCACTACCATCTGCAAAGCAACATATTGGCAATGGCTTCATTTTTCAGCAGCAAAAACATACTTGCTTAGAAAAACACTCAGAGGAACACTTTCAGTAATGGATGGGCCTCCTCAGAGCCTGGACCTCCATATTATTAGAGCAGTGTGGGCTCATCTTGACAAAGAACTGAGCAAAAGGGAGCCAAAACCCAGAGAAGAGCTTTGGTGTTTTACAAACCTTTGCTGTATATTCCTTGTATGTTTGCTGTTTTATTTTCATGTAATTCAGATTAAAACACCCTGCTTTTAATGTGTCCTCTGCTGTTTCTCATCTTCTCCCTCCTCTCTCTACAGGTAACAGAGATCCAGGACTGGAGTGCGGCCAGCCCTCACAGCGCTGCCTACGTACTGTGGGACAACGGGGCCAAGAACCTGTACAGAGTTGGCTTTGAGGGAATGGTGAGCAAACTTCTAGTATGAACCTCATGCTCACTAACTCCCTCACACAGACGGATTCACACAAAAGATCAGCTGTCAGTTGGCTTTTGTATCTAACCGTGGAGCTGAGGCTCTTTCTTTTACTGCCAGGCCTTTGTGAGAGACACGCAGCCAGCGTGAGTACGGCACTATTGTCCAGGCAGCTGGAAGGGGGAGGTATCTGCATGATAAAGGCAATCTGTTCCTTCTGCTTTATAAGGGGACACGGTGAACATGGCGGTCAACTTTAGAAAGGGGGGACATTCTCCTGGGGATGTCATGGGCTCAGCTACACACGCGTTCCAGATGAAAAGCGTGTCCTTCATTGGTGCAGACTGCCTCTTCCTTTTTATGAAAGCGGCCAATCGGGTTTCTCAGTTGCATAACAGATTTGTCCTTTGTTATTCTAATAGATTGAAAGGAAGGTAGGTGGCATCTGCCTTTGGATTAAGTAAATCATGGATTAGACCCCCGTATTGACGGTTTTATTTCGGCTTTATTTTATGAAGATCGGATAAATCCTTCAAAGGAATAAAAAAGAATTGCAGCTTACTGTATTTTCCAAACGCAGCGTGAGAGGCCAAAGCGTTTCCTCTGTTGCGATGCCTGCTTCATGTGCACAGTACTATAAGATCAAACACATCCCGCTGGATATGCAGTCTAAGAGACAGTTATTAATTTACTGAGACGTGTTGCAGTCATGACTTTGGCGATCCATCAGTTCAGAGGAGCGTTTGCACTGTCTTATGATGATCTCTGCCCTCTAACTCTGCTACAGTGGATGCACATCTGAGTCATCACAAATGATATGATGCTTTCTCCGTGTAGCAGTATAGTGTTTCAGTTTCCTGCCATATACCATGTTGCTTAGGGCACTGATATTGTGGGTATTGTAGGCAACTGATGTGCCTCTGCAACTGAAGTGCATAAATTCTCAGTGTCATTATCCATCACTATTCCCCTCTAATGGAATTACCTTGGTTAATTATGTAACCCGTTCCATCTTTTTTTCCCCTTTTAGTCGGACCTCAAATGTGTCCAGGATGCCAAAGGAGGGACATTTTACAGAGACCACTGTCCGGTTTTAGGTAAGCAAGCCGGTGATATATGTCTGCGTCGTTATTGCACCAATTTGTTCACCTAGCGTGCTGGTGCAGTGAATTCAAGGACATTCGAGGAGTTTTTCTTGTAGTAAAGTCTGTGTGGCCACTAGATGTCAGCACTACATAGTCACATGGCTCCAAAACCAGGTATAGACTCAGGTCATGCAGTTACAGTGTTCAGGTACTCGTGGAATAAATTGTCTTTCTGGGTTTAAAACTGCAACAAATTTTGATGTGTAGTATATACAATCACTCTGCAGTGCTGCCTCTCTTCAGGGCAACTCGTGCAAATCACATTTTTAATAAATCTAACGTTACCTTAATCGTCTCAGGTGAACAGAATGGCAACAGAAATCCTGGTGGCCTTCAGATTGGGGACCTGGTAAACATTGATCTGGATCTCGAGATTGTACAGTCCCTCCAGCATGGACACGGAGGGTGGACTGACGGCATGTTTGAGACGCTCACCACCACCGGCACAGTGTGCGGCATCGATGAGGATCACGACATTGTGGTTCAGTACCCCAGCGGGAACAGGTGCAGCGCTTGACATGGAGGCTCGGAATAATTGATTTACTTATTTTTTAGTATTTGACTACTAAAAAACATATTTCTTAGTTTTAGATAACCCCTTCCACTTAAGGTCATTCAGAAGCAGCAAAACACTTCTCAGCACATCTTCACCGTAGGATGTAATTATGCTTTTTAACACTCGAGAGAAGAGACTCTCAATAAATTAGCAGTCAATTTCTAGTGAAATGCATAATTAAAGTGGATTTTCTGTGAATGTAAAAGCACTTTGTCGCTTCTAGTGTTTATTAAATGTTCTCAACATGCTCTTTGATAGTGATCATAGATATACCTCGATCAAGTTCTTTTGGGAGTCGTTTAATATTGGGCATGTGGACCAGTAATGTAAAAGCGGTCTAAATTTAGCCCACTTTATTTTTATTACGTTGATGAGCTTAAATTATTCAAATGCTGTGAAGATAATTACTGGGGAGAAGACCTTTCAGACTTCTGCTCTGTTGGAGGTATAGATGCGCTTTCTCTGCTTTTTTTTTTTTGCAGTTTAATTACACAGTGAGGCTTATATCACTCTGTAACACGTTTGCCTAACACACGAACAAGAGGAGCAGACCCTCAGAGGGGTTGCATCAGGAAGGGCATCCGGTGTAAAATGTGGGCTAAATTAAATATGCAGATACATCCACTGTGACTATCCCTTGTGGGTAAGGGAGTAGCTGAAAGAAGCTTGTTACAGAGTGATACTTCCTTGCTTCACATACCATCTTTGAATGAGTCCTGACTTATTTTAAAAAAGCAAATTCAATAACAGCAATTTTTTTTTACTATAGTTTTTTTTGCATTCATTAATATTGCCTAGAATTATGTTGTTGAAATAAATCCAAATTAAATAATGTTGTAAATTAAAGGATGTTTAAAATGAAAAGTTCCTAGCTAGACAATTCATGCACCATTTTTGTTTCACCAAAGCAAAAAAAAGAAAAAAGTTTGCCCCTTTTTTTTTTTTTTTTTTTTTTTTTTTTTGCAAGCTTTGTGTCAGAAATCAAACATCAGTGAAGCCTGAACACTTTATGCTCTCACATTCACGTCTGGGGCGAAATGCTTGCATTAATTCAGAAGAAATGCTCCCATTTTGCCCATTTATTGGTGCCTTATTATTTATTGCTCCAGCGTAGCTTGCTCAAATTCTATACCTCACATCAGCTATCACAGTTTAGGGGAGCTAGTCGGTGTTGCTTGAATGCATCGCTCTCTCTGTCCTCAGATGGACGTTCAACCCAGCAGTGCTGACAAAGGCTAACGTAGTGCGCAGTGGCGAAGTCGCAGCTGGTGCAGAGGGAGGCACTTCCCAGTTCCATGTGGGAGACCTGGTCCAGATCTGCTACGACATTGACCGCATCAAGTTACTACAAAGAGGCCATGGAGAATGGGCTGAGGCGATGCTGCCTGTAAGAGTTTAATAGATTTTCACACTGATTTGTGCAGAGTTGACCGCACTCACAGTCACGTTGAGGCTGTTACATTAATAGAAACAGGAAATAAATGTGGACATGTTTAAATAAATTTTTTATGGTTAAGGATTTGCTGGGGAAAAAAATTAAATTTATTTAATAAATGTGTATAGATAAATACAATTTTTCTACAAAGAGGGACATGTAATGAAATTATTCATTGTAGCTACATTTGTCTTAGTTACTACAAGACTTTACACGCAGCATTGTGTAAAATCTATGGATGCTTTGCTGCCAGTTCTTTTAAAAAATCTTCTCTCAGTCTTAACATGACTTTATTCTTCCCGTATTATGAAGTTTATTCATCGCTGCCCAGCATGCCGTGGGTTATGTAACGCCAGTCTACTCCAATATGCCACTTGTTCTTGCCAAACTGGCCCCCCTCAGCAGCTAATGAGCCTTAAAACTCTGAGATGGGTTGTAGCTTTGATCACTAACCATGGCTGTTTGCCGCCTGCTGCCGCTTCTGCTGCAGCAGTCCCCGTTATTGATGACATCCTCCAGGACAGCCCCAGACCCGGCTCAACACACTCAAAGTGCCTCTTTCCCTTATAGCCGGGATCGAGATGATATAATTCAAAATTGGAATGCGTTATACTCTGTCCTCTCCAAATTGCCTGTATAGATGAAAAATGGTCTAGCAAGTAGAAGGGTCTTTCTTTTATATCCATTTTCTTTCTTGTGCAAGTGAGTACACTCTGAATAATAAGAACATTGCTCAAACATCTCTCATACCTTGTTTTTTTTCTGTCAGTGTTTTATTTTATAATAAACTGCTCTGTGTAGGATGCTGGCTTTTTGAGCTGCTGTACTTTCCACATTATCCTTTCCCTCGCAGCTCTACTTTCCTCACTGCAGTCCCTCTTCATCTGTCCTCTGCCACTTACAGACTGTGTTACACAGGACGTAGCCCAAAGACAATAAGCCTTCATATACTAATGAGTTTGTCACAACATTTCTAAACAGACCCTGGGCAAGGTAGGCCGTGTGCAGCAGATCTACTCTGACAGTGACCTTAAGGTCGAGGTTTGTGGGACATCTTGGACGTACAACCCTGCTGCCGTCACCAAGATCGCCCCTTCCGGCTCCGCTGTCAGCAACGCCTCTGGAGGTATGTGCGAACATGCACCGCTAACTCAGAGAGAGCATCATTTTTAGTTTTTTGTCCTCATTGCTTCATTGCTCTCTGTTATCTGGCACCTACATGCTATCAATCTCTGATGTTTTCCGCTCGCTTGTCCAGAACGCCTGTCTCAGTTATTGAAGAAACTATTTGAGACACAAGAGTCTGGGGACATCAATGAGGAGCTGGTCAAGGCAGCAGCCAATGGAGACTTGGCCAAAGTGGAGGACATTCTTAAGAGACCTGATGTGGATGTGAGTGCTCCAGCATTTTGATGTTTTGATATAAGGAACTGTTGAAGTTCTAGATGACTTTTTGATGAATGATTCTACCATTAAACCTATGCAGAAGATATAGGTACATTTATAATTGGAGCTGGAATACCCCTGGCTGTGCTCGGCTCTTCTCTCAGTATATTGAGGAGGCTATATTGAGGAGAGTCTCCCAGGAAACCTCTCAAAGATCCTCCCACCCCTGCAACTCTCTCAATCTGAAAGGCATTAAGGCTGGGCCCAAAGGAGGCACCAATGAGCACTGGTGTGCACTGCAGCACAGAGCCTGATTCACTCTCAGAATCAAGTGGAGATCTACAAACCCCACACGGTTGTAGATTTTGTTCTTACTCAGGCAGCAGGACAGAAATCTGTGCCTTCTATAGGTCTAGAAAAAAGATTACGTCAGTCTGCCATGCCGTCTTCACTTTAGAGAAAGGGAGACTGAATGAGTGTGTGTGTGTGTGTGTCATTGGTGAGTGCTGGCCAGATGCCCCGTTGCCTTTCAGTGGAATTATTTGCTTAAAGCTGAGCACACTGAGGCTGGCCAAGTGATTTGGCTGCCAGGACAAGAGACGTCTCGAGACTCCCAAAGGAGTTCACATTAATATTTATGCTCTGAGTTTTTGCAGTGCTGCAGTTGGTGATGAAACTTGCTCACACAACTGTGGATGCACATGTACAACATCCAAATATTTAAAACACACCCTCACCAGTCTCATCACCATGTGTTTGGCAGCTCTAAACATTAAACAGCACGCTGACATGCAGCCGTATTCTGAGTGACTCTTGATGTGTTTTTCCAGGTGAACGGGCAGTGTGCTGGACACACCGCTATGCAGGCAGCCAGTCAGAACGGTCACGTGGATGTCCTAAAGCTGCTTCTTAAACACAATGTGGACCTGGAGGCTGAGGTTTGTCTAATTAGAAAAAATAACCTGTCTCTGATGTGTGCTTCTTCTTATCACGAACGCATCTCAGCTTTCTTTTATATTGCATTTCGCACCAGATTTCACACAATACTGAGTCATTATTTGGATGTGTCACTGTTCCCAGGATAAAGATGGAGACCGAGCAGTGCACCACGCAGCTTTTGGTGATGAAGGCTCTGTCATTGAAGTGCTGCACAGGGGCGGTGCAGACCTGAATGCCAGGAACAAACGAAGGCAGACTCCATTACACATAGCTGTCAACAAGGGCCATCTACAGGTGGTTAAAACCCTTTTGGACTTCGGCTGCCACCCTAGCCTTCAGGTATGTATCGCTTGACTTATTTACCTTTAAGAAAATACTTCATGGCATAGCTTAGTTGCTTACTTCCCCCGATTTTGTCATTGTACATGTATAACTGAACTGTGGGTGCTGCTGTGAAAGATATATAAAAAGATATATAAATGACAAAACAAGAGGATAAAAAGCAAACACTGTGTCAAAGCATACAATAAAAAAACACACAATAAGGGAGCAAAGGTATAAATATTAAGTTACAAAGTGGCTTGAGTGTTGTGCGAAAGACTTCAGTAAAGGCGCAGGATGTCCTACAGAAATTTCCACATTGTATACAACAAAACAGCAACAGTGTGGCGTTCACAGATGGCACGCAGAGCTTTCTACCTGTCAAAAAGGGAGTTTTTCCTTCCCGCTGTTGCCAAGTGCTTGATAGGAGTTGTCTGATTGCTGGTGCTTTTTCTGTATTATTTTAGGGTATTTACTTACCATAAAAAGTGCCTTGAAGCGACTATTGTTGTGATGTGGTGCAATATAAATAAATTTGAATAGAATAAGCTGCTTTTGAAGTACATTGTAACACTTGAGGGGTCATTGTAGACCTGACTTGTAATTACGTTATTTAAACAGCAGTCCTTAACATAAGGTTTCCCCTTCAGGATTCAGAGGGTGACACACCTCTTCACGATGCCATTAGTAAGAAGAGAGATGATATGCTGTCAGTGCTGCTGGAGGCGGGTGCTGACGTCACCATCACCAACAACAACGGGTTCAATGCTTTGCATCACGCCGCCCTGAGAGGAAACCCCAGGTGTGTGACATGTTCGGTTTGGCGACTGTGACGAATGAAGGCTTGTTTCAGTGGAATCTGCCGATGCAGATCTCAGTTAATAACGGTTTCATATGCTCAGTGGAACCAAAACTAGAGACATGTGCATAACTTATGTCCACACACTAAATTAACCACATTTAATTGATTCATTTGTTGATTCTCAAATTCCAGAGATTAACAGGAAAGTCCCACAGAGAATTGCCTCAGTGAGAACTTTATGAATATGAATAAAGTGATTAAACGCCATATTGAACCCACACTGTGCGATACACCAAATATCTTGAAGTGTCTGTGTGGTGTACAAATCACATTTTAGTTGGTCTCCCTGCCCCAGAAATAGTGATGAGATGGTCTCAGTATATGAGTTGTTTTTTTGTTTATTTATCCTGGTGATTTAACCGTCTTGTTTCTGGCCTGGCCATTTAATAAACAAAAATGTCTGTGAATTTGTTATATGTAGGAAAAACCCTGGATATATTATTCACACTTTCCTGCATGAGATTAAATTTGATGTGTCATCAAACAGGAAGAGAGGATTAATTTCAATCTAATGAACCCACACAATGCACAGAATTATTTAAAACTACAACAAGTAGGGTTTATATTTTGCTTGTTAGCAGCTAGAAGACAGAGAGCCAGGCAGAATCATTCATTATCCTCCTCTTGATGAAGGATTTGGGCTCACCACCCTACAGGAATATAGTTGTACTTAGTATAGGTCCAATAACTGTTACACTTCTTTAACTGAGTCCTTCTGTTGTCTAGATGAGGACAGTCATGGGTTAATTTAATGTGGTACTGCAGTATCTCAAAGGCAATTACCAATTTCATGCTGAAATTTGCTTCCACTGAATCCGCTGCTTTTTTTTGTTTAAGTTGAAAACACTTTAAAAGAAATTAAAAGAAAAGTTATCCTCCTGTAAGCTCTACTTTGGTATCTCAGTTATATTGACTATTTAATTTAAAGAACTGTAGGCGTATCTATCTTTCAAAAGGATGCTGTGGTCTCCTGTGTTGACTGTTATATTGGTACAGCTAAAAACCTGGAGCGTTTGTGTTTGTTTGCACACTGTTTTGCTATTCCACGATTGTGTGTGTCGTGTGTGGAGTGGCTTGCAGTGCAGCGGCAGCACTTCGTTTTGTCCTTGTCGGTGCTGTTCCCGGCCAGCAGGTTGCTTTTCCAGTCTTTATCTGTTTTATTCTGCTCTCTAAGCCATGAGCATATTAAAGATGGCTCTGAGCAATGACTGTCTGTATCAGGTTTATCATCCACCTCTTAAGGTGATGGAAATTTATGTTTCATCGCCACGGTAAAGGGAGTGGAGCAGTTTCTAGAAAAGTTAACATCTGCTTTCCGCTGTGAGTGCTTCAGGTGTGTGTTTCCGCATGAGCGTGGTTATCCCAGGCTAAATGTCATTCCCCTTCGTTGGCATTTATTCCTTTGGCACTAGGACAAATGGAATTAAGGTCACAGGGCTGTGGAACACCTGTCAAAGGTCACAGGCCTGGTCCAGCCCCTCCACATCTGGTACCCTGTAGGTCAGATTATCTAAAGCCAGTGCCTGTTTCTAACATTGATTAATTTCAGATTGAAAAAACCTCCTAAAAATCACTTTATTAATACAGAAAACTGCATTTATCAAGGCTAAAATCTGTCCTTGTTCAAATATATTGGCATATATATATATAGATATATATATATATATATATATATATATATATATATATATATATATATATATATATATATATATATATATATATATATATATATATATATATATCTATATATATATATCAAAAGCAAATTGCAGATCCAGTTTTATAAAATATATTATATTAATATTATAATATATAAATTATAAGTTAAATGAAATATGAAGCCAGTGTTCATACACGGCATGCTCTGGAAAAACAAAAACAGGTGCAGAAATATGTTAAATGAAGTCTGCAGTGTTTCGTTTATTTTCTGTTATTGAAATGATACATAACCAGCCTGCCTGCTTCTCTTCAGCAGGTAATTCCAGAGTTGATGATCCCTGAAATTCTGTAATTAAACATGATTACATAGATTCAGGGCTGTCTTTGTTGAATCTATTTCAGAATTGATTGAATAAATTGCAGAAAGAAGTGAAAATGACAGACAGGAAACTGAAAAACTGGCCATATGTTTGCAGTCCGAGTCTGTCTGTGTTATCCGAGAGGGTGAGGGCGGAAAAAATATTGCAAGGCCACCGTTATCTTTTATTGCACAACCTTTAAACTTTAATGAACAACAGTAAACATGCTCAAGGAATAAACGGCACCGTTAAAAAAAAAAAAGATATTTGCATTTTAAATATTTAAATAGAATAGTCTGTCGGGTTTGAGAGTATATGTTAGAGAGCTGACCTGCTGAAAGATTCATTTGAGTACGGTGGTTTCTATATCAAAGGCCCTGTTGTGCTTTCTTTGCTTGTCTCAGTCCACACTCTGTCCCCATGCCGTCAGAAAGACAAAGATATATGTCACCTTCTGCAGTCTGCCCATTTACTTTTATTTCACACTCGGGCTCCTGCAATATCGTGGAGACGGTCTACAAGTCCTAAAGCCCTCGGAAATGTCTCCCTAGGCTGAAGTGGGAGCACCTTGTCTGGCGTGTTTTTAGTGGAGAGGCAGTTGTTTTGACTGAGTGCTTAAAGAAATTCCTGACATACTTCTGCAAAAGGGGGAAAAAAAATGTAAAAGCCTTGATGGCTGTAGATGAGAGTTGCTTGAAACTGGAAGCCAATCAGAGAGCAGTGAGATGGAGGATATCAAACAAAACCCGTCAGGTTAATAAGTCCGATGACCTGCTTGTGTTTGAGCACAGACTCTTTTGGCATTCGTGGCTCAAACAAGTGTAAAATATAATTTTCTTGTTGCCGTGTAATTCCACGACAATGCGAAAAACAATTTAAAAATGAGCTTCCTCTCTTCTGTTACGCTAAGTGATGTATGTTCTAAACATCAAATGCTGGCTTTTGGGTTCAAGTAGAGACTGCGTCAGAGTCCCTGGTGTGTTTGTAATGTGTTATGTGCGTGGGTGGGTCTTCCAGCAGTGGAAACAAGATTGAGGAAGACACATAGGAAGAACCCTGTGGGTGACAGATGAATCTTTCAACTTGGAGTCCCAAACACTGAGACAAATCAACTCTACCAACAGGCGAGCAGCAGGAACTGGGGAGTTGTACTATATTTTACCTTGTTCATTACTCACACATAGACACGGCTGCAGCATGTTAAGGCATTTCCTCATAAATTAAAGCTAGTTGTTAAGTTTTACAATTGCTAGTAAATTGAAAGTGCTGGTATAACCAGCAGTAACATGTCCGGGAAGGATTTTCTTGTGTGTTCTCCCTGTGTGTTTACCACAGCTCTAGCCTGCAAGGGGAGCCTGGCTCATCTCTGTGTCTTTCCCCCGGGCTGCTCGAAGCTAGTAGCTGCTACAATACTGTAAACAATACGATTAATAGCCCATGACTCATAAACGGGCTCTAAACAAGCCCTGCAGCGGCCGTCCGTACCCTTTTACGTGTCACCTCCTTGTAATATTTGCCCTCCTCCCTCTCCCCTTATAGTTCTCAGCTTTCTTTTAATACGGCAACATACAGGCAAAACCCCGTATGGTAATTGGCTCACCTGAGGAGATGGAGGGTTGTGCAGGAGATCACACTGTGCTCTGAAATGCAGACATTTATTCCCTTTGTAATGTCGGCACTAATAGGCACCACCATAATGGTAGTATTGTAATAGGGATCCCACTTAGAAAGGAGTGGAGACATGGGTCAAATGTTTGCATTAAAACGTTTGCATGTTCAGATTTTCTTTATCGCTGACATCGATGAAACAGGAGGTTTGTTCACTCTTGCTTCTTTCAGCCTAATCGAGTTGGACTGCTTTGATTGAGAAAACTAGTGCGTGTTATGGTGCACAAATGCATTTCATGGTCATTAGTCCAATGAAAAAGAATTTATAACCAAGTTTGTTAAATCAAATTGAGATTTAATCAATGTCTGTATGCTATACCCACATCCTCTTAATTGCTTTAAATAATTAGACAAATTACATCTTTTAGATCAGTTGTGGAAAAAAATGATTTAGCACTGATTTTTATATTTATGTTTTATATTTTCTCTCTCTCTTTTTTTTTCTTTCTTTTTTTTTAAAAAGGGCATCCAAGGCATTTCTTACATGCACTGCAGTCCTGGACTTTTCTAGGACTTTCCCGCCGATAGAGACGTGTGTTTGAATGCAAAGATCTGAGGCACAAGGGGATTAATCAGTTGGGTCCAGTTAGGTCCATTAACATGCTAGGTCCAGAGAATAGCGCAAATACCTATTCACTCAGGTGAATTCACAGCTAGCGAGGGGTTGTCCCGTGTCCTCAAGCTCAACGCGAGGCACCATCCTCACCTAAACAAAACACACTAAATTTCCAGAAGAAAGAACGAATGCTCACTGGAACGATCTCTTGCTGTGTGGTACATGTGAAAAACGATAACTTCTGACAATGTCCTGACCAGATGCCCTTGACATTTTCTGGAGTTCATGTGTGCGGGCAGGAGACGTCCTGTGACAGGGAGTTAGGTTTGCGCTTCCTGCTTGTTCTGCACCCACAGCGAGTGAATGTGGGAGCCTGTAGCTGTTTGCTCCTGTGATTTGTGCGTGAAGCTTCTGTCCCCGAAGCATCTGGCTCTCATCTACCCCAGCTAGTCTAACATCACTAACATAAGGCTTAATGAAAAGGAGTCCAAAGAGTCTCAGTGTGCTTGTGTGTAATGTACATTGTCTAAACGGCTATATTTTGCTCCTTCTTGGGTTTCTTGCAGTCTTGCTGTTGTATTTCTTATTCACAATCTCTTTTGCAGTTCCATTGTACCCCCCTACCTCCCTTTTACCTGCTCCCACCCACAGTGTAATTGACTGTTAGCATCTAGTGACAGTGAGTTTAGAAAGTG